TGATTCTTCAGCCTTCCCATCAATTCTACGAGTTGCCTGACATCCTTCCAACGCTCTCTTCTATTTCCGTTCGCCAACTCTGTCTTCTTTTGCTTGCAATGGCAACCCTGACTAAAACGGGTGCTACAGGAGAGGACAGCGGTGGGAAAGGTGAGTTGGTAGTGGAGGAACTCACTTTAGATAAGGTAATCAGGGAAAGCCCCTCTGAGGAGGTGCCATTTACCCAGAGGGCTGAATGGTGAGATAGCCAGCAGATGTAGTGTGGAAGGACAGACATTTCAGGCAGAGGGAGCAGCAGGGACAAAGGCTCTGAGGCGGGAGCTGAGAGGCCTGGATGGCTGCAGTGTAGCAGGCAAGTGGGCAAGTTGGGGGAGAGGTCAGCGGAAGCCAGATCACGCAGGATCTCGAGGTCATGGTAAAGAACTTGGATTCCTTCCGCCAACCGAATCCATCTCTTATTCCAGACATCAGAGTCTGAGAAGGCTGAGGATCAGACCTGAGGTCCCCTTGTCTGGGTATCAGGATCAGCTAAGGCAGTGAGTGGCTTTAACCAGATCATGATAAAGAACTTCTTTGTCAACTCACCCGTCTGTTTTGCTAGCTTGTGGGTTTCCTTAATTTCTGGTTAGGTTCTTTCCTGAGTTCCTTAGTTCCCTTTGATAAATTCCAACCCAGCTCTGCTGAGCTGAGGGGAAAGATTTTTGTCCACTGTTGGGCCTGGGAATCCCAGCTAGAGAGTCCAGTCATCTGGGGAAGATGGGCAGTTACCCTGGATGGTGTGGGAACGAGCAGGTGGATTCCAATGGATCCCTTCAGTCTCATTTCACGGTCCCACATTCATTCAACAGTTGTTCAGCATCCAGCATATGCCTGGGCTCCCTGTGGGCCTCTGGCTACAAAGATCCTCTTTTCCAGGAATCAAGATAGGTATGAGGGATGGCCCAGTCCAAACATTATTGAGTGACAGTTCCCTGTTACTTAGGAGCTGGTAAAAGCCACTGGCCCTAGGTACCCTGCATTCCAAATGGGAGCCAGATACTTCCTCTCCGAGGTTTACTAAAGGGGTAGAACTTGTCCTATATCCCCTAGCCCAAACCTTGCTTTCCTTTTCCTTGCCCATATAATAATCCTGGGGAGGGAGGGCTTCTCTGGTTTTATTGAGGAATATAGTGTCTATGGCAGAAGACAATCCCCACCTCCACACCTTTAATTGGGAGTCCCTCCTGGATATTGAGGGGTGACTTCAAGAAGGGGATGCTGGGATGCTGTTCCCCAGTCGGGGTCTACTTGGTGGTGGACTTGCTATGCTTATCCGAGCAGGGAGGGAGAAAGATGGAGAGGGGAGGAAGTGTAGTAGCTGGCCAGGATGTATGAGTTTCTCTGGGTCAAGTGGATGCTGCAGTAATTAGCCAGACTTGCCGGTACCCCACTCAAGCAGGCTGACTGCTGAACAAGAGGGTCCCACCAGTGGCAGGCGCCCTGGTGGTGGGGTACTGTAGGAGAGCTCAAGTCTGAGCTGGATGCTCCTTGTCAGAGAACCTTGCAGTGGAGAAGCCCTTACCTAAGAGACTTACTTATGCGCCCCATGAGAAACCATGTATGGACCCTTGCTTCCCTGGGTTAGCCAGGAAAGCAGGGTCAAGCAACAGGGAGAGGGCTATATTGCAGAGGGCTGTTCCTGCTCCCTCCTCCCAATTTCAATAAAGGGAGGGTGCTAGGGCGTGTCTCCCAACCAGGCCATGCCCCCGCTTCCACTTTTTATACAAACAGGTGGGGTCCCCGCACAAGTCAATCCTTGGATCAGTAAGGGAGATGATAAAATGAGATTTAAATTGAGTTTGAGAATAAAGCTTTCAAGGGTGGAGGTTTAACAACAGAAAGTGATCCAAAAGTAATGCAATCTGCCCAAGATGTCATTAAAGGATGGAAAACGGAGATTCAACACAGCAGGGCTGAAAGCAGAGATAGGGGGAAAAAAGCTTTATTATTATATCCCACCAGGTTGAGTTGCCTCAATACACTGGTACTGTGAGTAAACAGAATAACTGAGACATGGCTTGGTAGGACTGGAGTCTGGCTTAGGCAAGCAGCTCCAGGGTGCTGAGAGGGCCCAGGGAGGTAGGTGTGCACATCCCAGGTTGGCTGATGGAGAGGGCTTTCCAGAGAGGAGGCATCTGAGTTGAGCCTTGAAGGATGAGAAAGAGTTGATTCAATGAAAGGACAGTGGGAAAGGGCTTTCCAGGGAGAGATGACAACACAGTCTGGAGAGTAAGTTGAAGGCAGAGAGGACAGTTAGAGAGGCAGGCCAGGAACCCCATGGCCTTGAGGCCCTGTGGGCTTAAGGAGTGAGGGCTCTGGGGAGTTGATTCAAACCTGGGAGCAGCACAATTGGGTCTGCATCTTAGAACCATCTAGTAGCCGGATTCTGGCAGTGCTGTGGACTTGAGCTCTAGGCATGCTTCTCATCCATTCACCTGGCCCTGGGACCCCCACCTCCCTGCAAAGGCCATTTCCTCTGTGATTCCAAAATCCTGGGTCCCCACTCTTTGGAACGTCCTTTGCCCTACTCCCATCACTGAACCCTTCATAGTTCCACCCTTTGATGGGACTCTGAAATATTGCCACCTTCCCCATAAGTCATCATCTCTCTTTCCTTCTCCAGCGCAAGGAGATTCGATGCCTTCTCTGGGCCCATGCCCGCCAGCCCATGTCTCCTTGGGATATGCATATACTAAAATATCTTCCCTTTATCTCATCTGGTCTTCACCCCATGGGGCCACCCGAAGGCTACTATTTATTCTTTCACATAGTAATTTAAGCTGCTTTAATTGCTGCTATGATATGTTTTATATAACATAATTAATGTTATAATTCTGTGTACTTGCTTCCCAAGGCAGTTTTGTGAAGGGCCCAATTTTAGAATCAAGCAAATAAAGAATAAGTAATGGCTGAAGTTATTATAGTAACTCCCTCCCTAGCCCCCTTAGGAATTAAAACTGTGCTTGTTTTTTCAGTGTGGGTTAAAAAGGGAAAAGATATTTTAATGTTCTCTCTATCCCAGGCATGCTTGTGTGGCTTTCATGACGTCCTCTGGTCTTAGTTTTCAAGTGCTCTGGGACTACTGGTGTCTGACCATCAACTTGAGGTCTGTGTTGGGACTACCAGCTTTGTATCTTCTTCCCGATGGAGGCTGTGCTTAGAATAAGAAAAACCTACTCATTTATTCATTCAGCAAATGTGTATTGGTGCCCAGGCCTGGCATAGATTCAGTCCTGCCCTCAATGAGCTCACCATCAAATAGGGCCAGGCGGATGGGGGTGATAATCCAGCATGCTAATGATGTGGGAACATGGGGGCAGGGGCGAAGGTGGGGTGGAGTATCTACCTTTGTCTCAGGGAGTTAAGAGGAGGCTTAACCGAAGAGGAGGAGAAATTTAAACTCATTCGAGGAAGGAGAAGGAAGGAAGAAAACAGCAAGACACAGAATAAACAACTGTGTGTTTGGAAAGTGGGGGGACGGCAAGTATGGCTGAAGCCAGCGTGCATGGAGGACATGGCAGGGTGAGTGGAGGAGGAGAGGGTGGGTCTGAGTGGAGACTCAGCTGTGACAGGAGAAGGAATTTGGAGCATCCTGAGGGCCTAGGGGAGCGCAGAGTTTTTAAGCAGTGAAGTGCCCCGATCAGACCAGACCCTACAAAAGAGAACTGCAACAAAGTGAACAATGAGGGGGAGAAAGAGAGAGAGAGAAAGGGTGGTGGTGGTGGTGGTGGTGGGGAAGCTGCCTGGAACATAGCAGAGATTCAACAAATACTTATTGAATGAGTGAGGCTGTTGCAACAGCCCAGGTGAAAGATGCTGAGCCTCTGAATTAGGGTAGTGGCAGGGGGGATAGAAAAGAGGCGATGGATTCCGGAGGTAGAATCTGCAGGTCTGCAAATGTGCCCTTTGCAGCGGAAGCCAGGAGAATGGGGTTAGCAGCCCTCTCCTCTCCCATCCTCCCTGATCTGTGCAGTTTGGCCTTTTGGCCCAGTCCAGAAATTCAGAGCTTGGGGGGGTGCATCACCCCAACCACTGTCTAGTTCAAACTCCTCAGGTTTCATTGAAGAAAACTAAGGCTCAAGGAAACTCAGCCCATCAGAAGCAGAGCCTAGGCCAGAACCCAGGGGCTCCCTGCTGCAGAGCAGCGTTAACACTGGTTCAAGAACAGCTAGGAGGGTTTGAACTGGGGAAATAATAGGTACAAGGGTGTGTGTGTTTCTGCAGAACTAGGGGGTCTCCAGTGTCCTAAGATTCTCAGGAGGTCCTACGATCCCACGAAAGGCTGATCTACTCTAAGTGCCTGTCTTCAGGCGGTGGATGGGAACTGGGATGGAACACAATCTGGTGGGGGCTGCATGGATGGCTGGCTGGCTGGCTGGCTGGCTGGATGGACGGGGAGGCTGGGACGCTGCGCCCACGCGAGGGAATTTCCTTTGAAAGAGAGCGAAACTGTAAGGTGAGAAGCTCTTTTCCATGAAAGGCCTCCCCAGCCCTCCTCCCACCACTCAGCTGTGACCTTCCCGTTTTCCGGGAACTTCCTCAGGCCTCTCCATCGCGGTGTGGGACGCTTTCGGTTCTGCCGGGATTGCCGGAGGCGGCGGGGAAGAACGCGGGGCGGCGGGGGGGAGTCTTCCCAACACCCATAGGGATCTCTCTTCACTCCCTTCGCGTCCTCCCCACCCCCAGGAGGCGGGCTGCCTCCTAGGCCAATTCAGTTCGGCCTTTGTAGTCCCGGGGCGGGGAGGAGTCTCAAGAAGGGCTCTCCTTGGAACCGCGCCTCCCGATTCCCCCACCCCTCCCCGCCCAAGGCGCGTCCCTAAACTCCTTGGGGAATTAGACTACCCGGGACTGTCCTGGGGGAAATCCCGGAGAGGTGACTCGCCCGGAGCTCCGCCCCCGTCAGCGAGGCTGGTCGCGATTTGTCCCCTAAGACCCGCCCCTTTCCTGGGAGGGTCCATGGGCTGGGACAGTGGAAGTGGAAGAGGCCAGGTCCTGGCGCTTTCTCCTCCCGCCGCCTGGTTCTCACCTCGCCATGGTTCGTCTGCCTCTGCAGTGTCTCCTCTGGGGCAGCTTTCTGACCGCCGTAAGTTGAGTTTCTGTTCCGACCGGAGACGGGAATTTGAGATTAGAGAGTAGGGAATGGGAAAAGAAACAATACTTCGGGGAGGGGACCTTCCAAGCTGATTTTGGGGGGACAGGAGCGTGGGTGGAAGCTGGGTAGGGTACCCTGGGTCCGGGCTGAATGAGGTGGGCTGCCTCTCTCTCCTCGCAGGTTGGGGTCCCAGGTAGCCCACAGAGGGCGCATAGTGGGGTCGCTACAGGAAAAGTGCTTAGCCAGCGCAGATGGGGTTGGGATTTTGGGAACCTGAAGGCTTGATCTGGTCAAAAGACTGGAGTCTGGGTCTGCCTCAGAGGCTGGCCACAAAGAGATGGTGAGGGGTTTCAGAAGCGGGAAGGGAGGCCAGCCAAGTGAAGGGGCGGGTCTGGCTAGTTTCCTTTCTTTTTCCCATTGTGGACAGACGCCAGCCTCTGTGAGTGGTTCATCTCCTTGCCAGCTGGGGCTGCCTTCTTCCAGGGCATCTTGTGGGAACAAGGGATGAGTGTAGAGGCCCAGGTGCTTCTTTGAGAAGGCAAGGAGCTTTGAACACTCCCACCACCGGCCGCAAATCCTGGGTGATCCAAGTTAGGAGGAATACCCAAGGCTGTGTCTCTGCCTCCTGAATTTAAGACGACATAGAGGACTCTCCGGGGAGCTGAACAGTTCATGGGACCATGAAAGGGCTAGGAGACCAGCAGGGGTTTCTCTAGGCACGAGAGGGGCTCAGATATGCCCAACCAAGCACATCTCCGGGATTTTCAGAGTTCCACACTTGACTCGCTTTTAGTTTAAGTGTATTTTTGTAGTTCCTCATTCTGGAGGCTGGGAATCCCCCAAGTACCGGACACTCTCATCCCAACCCCCCTGGTCTCCCCCTAACTTTCAAGGGCTGTAGTTTCTGGCATGAAGGCAGGGCAGGAGTGACCCCTGAAGTAGGGGGTTGGCAGCAAGGGAAGAGATTTCATGGGAAAGCTGCTTTGGTCCCAGAGCTTTCATTTTCACTCTAAGTAATGGCTCTTAGGGAGAAAGGAGGCAGGAAGAGGGCTCTTGGAGGAGGAGTGGAGGAAAAGCCAGGGGAGGTAGGGTGAAGGGTGGTCGTGGTTTCTCAAGAACAATCTCCCAATTTTAGCTCCAGGTGGAGACTAGGCTGTGACAACAATAACTGGGGCTATTTGTTGAGAGCTTCCTGTGGGTCAGGAAGCTTTACACGCACTCTAGGTTTGATTTCTTTCAACCGCCGCATTATACAGGTGAGCAAACTGAGGCTGAGAGAGAGAAAATGTCTTGCCCCAATCCTCATAGCTAGGTGGAACCTGCATATGAATCTCCATCTGCCTGATTCCTGAGCCTGCCTCTCAGATGGTGGGAGTCTCCAAGCCTTGGTCCTAAGCTCCTTTGTGTCAGAAGGATCGAAGCTGTGAAGTGGGAACTGGGGATTGACAGATTTACAGAGGAGGAGCTGTATTTCTTGTGTGTTTGAATATGGCGTAAAGGACTTTCATTGCTCCGGGAGTGTGGTGGGAAAGTCCATAGGCTTGCGGGGAGAACATTCATGGGATAGTGTGTTGCGATGTGATGGTGGGAGCAGTAGCCTTTGCTATTTCCTTCCCCATTTGGGGTCAGATACACTTTTGTAAGTAATTTGCCCACCCAGGCTGAATGAGAGCCACCAATTAGGCAGGATCCTGGAAGCCAGCCAGTTAGCCAGTTTGCTAGGCATCCAAGCAGATACTCATATATGTATGATAATTAAAGCTGCCATTCACTGAGCACCTACTATGTTCCAGATACTATGCCAGGCCAGGTACATCTATTCTTTCTCATCTTCACAACCTAATCTGTGGGGCAGGTATTATCACTCCCATTTTAGAGATGTAGAAACTGAGGCTAAGAGAGGCAAAATAGCTAGTTACGTGTTACAAAGTCAAGATTGGAGCCTTAAGCTATTTGACCCTTAAAGCTGTGTCCTTTTCGCAGGCTGTTCCCAAAGTGTGGGATGATTTAGGCAGCACAAGGACATAGAATTAACAACATAGGTTCACTTTACAGTTCTGTTTAAAATCCTTTTCATTTTTTCAAGAAGGAAGTCGCTGGAGCTAGAATATAGTTAATACCTCTCAAATGCCTGCTAATCCTCCTTTTTAAACAAAAATCAAGAGCAGGCCTGAGGTAGAGGGCTGTCAGCAAGCAAAGCGATCAGCTGGGGTTTAATAACATCGTTTTGTTTCTGTTGAGTTTATTTTTAGGGTTGCCTTTTATTTATGAGAAGTGATACTGGTTTTTCTCTCATGGCAATGATGTGAGGTTTACATTGAAAATAAATGTATTTAAATGAACAAGAAGTAATGAATAGCTTGGGTGGTACCTGGATGTAGTGAAAATAGTGCAGATGAGACTCAAGTTGTTGGAGAGAGGGAGTATTGAAACCTGAGCTCTCATTTGGATTCTATCACTGTGTGACCTTGGGCAAGTGACCCACCCTTTCTGGTCCTCAGTCTCACCATGTGTAAAGTAAAAGAGTTGGATTTTATTCTTCCGGCTTCTCCATCCTTGCATTTCATGAGAGAGGGGTTGGATGATCAGATGGTGAGGCTTGGAGAGGGGAAGAGGGTGGGGAGCAAAAGAATAGAAGGAAGAGGCCAGGTGCTAAATATAGCCCCAGTCCAGACTAGGACCAGCTGGAGTCAGCCAGCTTCAGGACTCCAGGGGAGATGCTGGAGTCCTCATGTGCTCTTGGGTTTTTGGGTAGAGGAAAGACTCAGGAGTCAAGCCGAAAGGAAGATCTGTTTAGTTCAGTGACTATTGTGAGTTTCCAGCGCAATTACTTTGTAAAATACCAGATTGATTCTCTGGGTGCCTTTGTCATCATACTAGTTGGCAGTTTAGTTAAAAACAAACACAAGTAATATGCAGGCGCTGTTTCTCTGCTTTGGACTTCCACTTCAGTTCTAACCTCTGTCCTGGCTGATTTGCACCTGTCTGCCAAGGCTATATCGGAGATTTCAAGATCCCTTCAAATTGCCCAATTGTGTTTTTAGGTCCACCCAGAACCACCCACTTCATGCAGAGAAAACCAATACCTAACAAACAGCCGGTGCTGTAATTTGTGCCCACCAGGTGAGATGCTAACCCTTTAGCCCCATAGTGGGACCCCTCTTGGTTTGCTGGCAGATACAGACGCCCTGTGTCAATTATAAACTCGTGTCTTGACCCCTGGCATTTTCCATCCCTGCCCCAGGATGTTCTGGGGTCCCTCTCTGCCTACCCAGAACTTAGGGTTCCTATCTCTTCTATGTTCCTTACCAGACTATGAAAGTTGGAAGAGTCTGAGACTGTCATCTTTGAGTCTCCGTCCCTAAAGCCCAGCCTCATCAGCTTGCAGTTCAGTGTCTGACTCACTGAGTTAGCCGGAGCTACCTCATTTCCTGATGTTTTCCAGGACAGAAACTGGTGAACGACTGCACAGAGGTCACCGAAACAGAATGCCTTCCCTGCAGTAAAGGCGAATTCCTAGCCACCCGCAACAGAGAGAAATACTGTCACCAGCACAGATACTGCAACCCCAGTGCGTGGGCTGCTGGGGAAGGGGCACTTGGGAGCTGGGCTGATATTCCAGCTCATTGCTGACAGCACAGCCGTTCTGTGTGTTTGTTTGTTTTTTATAGCGAGGGTCTGTTCTGATTGGTTAGAGTCTGGGTTGTCTTGGTTGTTACTTAATTTGATTGCCATCCCTACTTGGAAGAGGGTCTAAGAGAAAAAGAACAGGAAGTATGAGGATCGGGGCCCCCCAAGCATGGCCAGTAAGGGGTTCCCATCCTTCTTGCCCATCCCTGCCCAGACCTAGGGCTCCAGATCCAGACGGAGGGCACCTCAATAACAGACACCGTTTGCATATGTGACGAAGGCCATCACTGTACCAGTCACACCTGCGAAAGTTGCACCCCGCACAGCTTGTGTCTCCCTGGCTTCGGGGTCGAGCAGATGGGTAAGTGGTCTGTCTGGGAATCAGCTCTAGAGGCAGGAGAGAGGAGGTGAAGGCCAAAGGAGCGGGGCTGGGCAGTGGGCACTCAGCCCTGGTGGGGAGGGACCAACCTACGCTGATATCTCCACCAGAGCAGGTGGGAAATAGAAACTTTGCCTCCTGCCTCCTGCCATGGGGATCTGCCTTGAGAGGGCAGTGGGAGAAATCTTCCTGGGGCCTGCCTGCAGCAGGACAAGGTATATGCTGGGGGGAGAAGGGCTTAAGGCAGGATGCTCTTCCAGGCCTGCCTGCCTGCCAGTTCCCTTGAGAGCCAGACAGGTGGTCCGCCGTGATGATTAACTCCTCCTCTACCCTCTCAGCTACAGGGGTTTCTGATACCATCTGTGAACCCTGCTCGGTCGGCTTCTTCTCCAGTGTGTCATCTGCTTTTGAAAAGTGTCACCCTTGGACAAGGTATAAGGATTCATCCCTTGTGTTTCCTGCCCCGAGAGGGGCATGGGACCTGCTTCCATTCTCTCCGGCTACCTGCCCTTCAGCCCCTGCTCCCCATGTCCACACACACTCGTACACCTGTAGAACTTCTAGAGTGACCTCGTGGCCAACTAGACAGACACTTTTCAGCATTTCTTGCCTTCTCTCTCTTGGTGGTAATAGATACCGCTGATCTCTGATCTTTGGTGAAGCCCTCCCTTCTTGGGGGCACCGTGACGCCTCTCTTCCATTCCTTGTACCCCTCCTCTGCTCCTCCTTAACTGGTTTTCTAGGCCTTTATTCTAGGCTCTACTCTCCCATCACCTTGCCCGCCTCCCCTGGACCATCTATCTCATCCACACACTTGGCTTCGGCTACCATTGCCCTTGGACGTTTCCCAATCAACGTCTCCTGTTGAAATTTGTCTCCTGGGTCCCAGACTGTCATATCTAACTGCCGAGGGTATACCTCTGTGCAGACAACCCACAGGCACCTGCCTGCTCCCCATACACGCTGTGAAAGGCACAAGCATGCCTCTGGGCACCCGTTCCAAAGTTCCCCTTACCCCCATCCCCAAATCAGTCACCAGGTCCTGTCCATCTGACCTTCCAGATGTTTTGGGACTCCTCCTCCTTTTCATTTATCCCCACCGTCACCACGTTAGCTTGGGCTTCATCACTGTGGTCTAGAGGATGCTTTAGCCTCCTCACCAGCTTCCCTGCCTCTACTCTCTCCCCTTCAGCTAGTTCTCCATCCCTTTGGCGAAGGAAACTTTCCACCATTCATTTTGGATCACGGCACTCCCTGTTTAAAATGCTTCATGGCTCTCTGTGCCTTTAGGATAAAACCCTGACTCCTGTGCATGGCCTTTGACCTTCTAGCTCCACTTCCTGACCTCTTCCCACATCGTGCTGCTTGCAGTCCTGTCAACACACTGTTCGTTCTCTTGCATCAACCTCTTCTGCCTGGAATACCTTAAACACACGCCTGATTAACCTTTTACATTTCATTTGAAAAAACGAGTAAGACAGGCGTGAGGACAGAAGGCACAAAAGGGCCTCTAGTGATACGCTTCCCTTTCACCCTCAACCATCCAGCAGCCACTGGACCATGTGTGTCCTTCTAGAGAGTCTATGCACAAACAAATACATGCACACACATGCAGACATATTTTTCACACAAATAGTAGCATCCCATATATACTTTGTTATTTGTTTACTGTCTGCCTTTCTCCAATAGATGGTAAACTCCTTAACTATAGAGACTTGACTTTTTTTATTCCACAGATGCATCCCTTATGCCTAGAACAGTGCCTGATGCATAGTAGGTGCTCAATAAATCTTTACTGATAAATGTTCGATGAGAAAGGGAGGCTCCTCTATGTCAAAGAACCAGAGCACTGGGTTCCAAACTCACTCAGCTTAGAAGGGGTGGAAGTGTGACCCTCATCTGAGCCTCGGTGCCCTCATTCAGAAAATAGGAATGACCTTCATTTTACAAGGTTTGAGGAAAAGACATGTAACATGCTTCGAAAACTCTTAAGCACTCTTCTTGTGTATGTGCTTTCTTTGAAGCTTCTTTCTCTTTTTCCAGCTTTAGATGTTTTTTCCTTTGCAATGTCCTTCTCTGTCCATCCCTTTCCATTCCTCCTGGGACCACTTTGGCCCAGTCTTCATCATCTCATGTTTGGAGTCTGTCAATGGCCTCCTGGCTGGCCATTTTTCTGTCATTTCTCCTCCTGGGAGCTCTCTGGCCAACTAAGTCCTCTCACAACTTAAGTCATCTGGTTGGATGATGACATGACCCACTAGCTGAATCCAGCTGAAACCTTCATGGCTGATTATCAGTGATCTGGTTCTAAAGACCCAATTTTCCAGAGTTTCCTTATACCATCTGGCTCGTCACCCACCTAATCCCCCATATCATGTTGTCCTGCTTAAAGAGAATATACCGATGCGTTAAATTTTACATCCCTCAAGGGCCCACTCAGCTCTGACTTCCCCAGGGAAATCTTTCTGGATGACCCTCAAACCAGAGATTCTCAACTGAGCAGTTTTCTCCCTCAGGGGACATTTGACAATATCTGGAGACATTTTGGTTGTCACAGCTGGGGAGGAGAAGGCTACTGGCGTCTAGTGTGTAGAGGCCAGGGAAGCTGCTAAACATCCTACAATGTACAGGACAGGTCCCACCACAGAAGAAGGATTATGTGGCCCCCAAATGTCAGTAGTGCCGAGCTTGAGAAGCGCCCATCATCCCTCCGTTCCAGCCGTTGTGGATTCTGTCTCCTCTTCTCTGAACAATCCCCTGTTCGCGTGAGCCTGTATCACAAAGCTTGGCCCTCATCAGAGACTCTCCTTACTCCTTCAAGATATACCATCATCTTTCCTCTGCACTCACGAGTTCCGTAAGAACAGAGTCTGTGTCATCCTCATAATAACCAGCCCAGGAGGGTGCACATAATATGTGCTCAGTGAACCTGGACTTGTTGGTTGTTGGCTGTCTCCCTCTGGGGTTGGAAATCACATGGTTGGGGAAACTTAATGCCTCTTTCTTTGTGTGTGTGTGTGTGTGTGTGTGTGTGTGTGTACACGTGTCTGTACACAGCTGCGAGAGCAAAGGCCTGGTGGAACAACATTCAGGGACTAACAAGACAGATGTTGTCTGTGGTGAGTCTTGGAGAACGGGCCCCGGCAGCAGGCTAGGAAGGTGGGGAGCTGAGGGGAAGACTGGGGCACCTGGAAGCACCAGTGGGGAAAGAGGGAGGGGAGGTAAAGCAAGAGGAGGAGCAGTCTGGAATTGTGGCAACCAGCTCTGCCACTTATCTGTGGAGCCTGGGCAAGTTACTCCCCCCCCGCCGAGCCTCAGTTTCTTCATCTGTGAAATGGGATACTACCACCTCCCTTAATAGGGTGGTGTAAGTACCTGGCATGGGTTCTGGCACTTTGGAGGTGCTCCCTCAGTGCTATTCTGCTACCCTGCACGTTGAGGACCAGCATGGTGTGACTCTGTTTCCTCTCAGGGCTGTAGTTTTTTTTTTTTTGGCTGCACCATGCGGCTTGCAGGATCTTAATTCCCTGACCAGGGATCAAACCCAGGCCACAGCAGTGAAAGCCCAGAATCCTAACCTCTAGGCCACCAGGGAACTCCCTCAGGGCCTCAGTTTTGATTTTAGGATGAGGAGGTTGGCATACAGCACAGGTCACAGACTCACATAATTACAGGGATTAGGCAGGATCATGTTAATGAGTGAAAAGATCAGGGGTAAGAAAAATACACTCTTTTCTTTTCTTTAAAATTCACTTTCCTCTTGGCAGGGCTGGGACTAGAGTGAGGTGAGAGAGGCACTTGCCTTGGGCACAGTATTTAAGGGCGTGCCAGAAAAATGCCGTAATCAAGATAACCATTTGATGCAATATTAAAAAAATCAAAATTCATGCAAAAAATCCATAACGAACAGAATAGCAACATTTTAAATAAAGACAGGATCCAACCCTGTATTTGTACAACCTTGTCTCACTTGCCTCACCCTAATCCCATCCCTGGTTCCAATAAAACTTTATTTAAAAAAACAGGCAGCTGGCCTGTGGGCCAGACTTTGCTGATATGATTTTTTAAAACATGACATTAAAATATGACTTATCTTGATTACTGAGTTTTTTAAGAAAATATTTATTTATTTATTTGGCTGCACTGGATCCTGTGTTACGGCATACAGGATCTTTAGTTGCGGCATCCGGGACCTTTAGTTATGGCATGCGGGGTCTTTCAGTTGCAGCATGTAGGTTGGCGTGCAGGCTCTTAGTTGTGGCATGTGGGATCTTAGTTCCCTGACCAGGGATGGAACCCAGGCCCCCTGCATTGGGAGTGCAGAGTCTTAACCGCTGGACTACCAGGGAAGTCCCAATTATTGAGTTTTTTTGGTGTCCCCTTAAATTTTGTCCTGAGGCAGTGCTTCACTTGCCTTACCCTAGTCCTTACCCTGTCTCTTGGTCTTTTTTTCATTTTCCCATTTAGAATAGAGACTTAGGCACAAGAAATACTTTCCCTTCTCCTCCATTCTTCTATAACAAAGGCAATGTTACAGACATAAATGATGCTGGGCCTTGGTATTGGGCAAAGAGTAGGGAGGGGTGGGAGTGTAGTGAGCCGGTAGAGACAACTATCACCACTCAGTTCTGGCCAATGGGTGCCATGTGTGCTGCTGGCCCACTAGGGCTGGATCTTCCCAATTTGCAAGAGAAATCAGATATCCAGATTTTAAATATACAATCTCCCATTTAAAAATGTCGGCAAATATTAAAAAAAAGAAAAAAAAATGTGCCAGTCACACTAAAGACATCTGCTGGCCACATTTTACCAGGAGCCACCTGTTTGAAACTTCTGATATGGATGAGTTTAGACATTGAAGTCCAGCAAGGTGCAGCAGCTTTGGGAAGGGCGGTGGGGAGCCATCGCTGAAGTCTTGATCTCTCCAGGTTTCCAGAATCGGATGCGAGCCCTGGTGGTGATCCCCATCACGATGGTGATCCTGTTCACTGTCCTGTTGGTATCTGCCTGTATCAGTGAGTCCCCAGGTGGGGAGGTGATGGGGGAAGAGGCAGCAGAAGGTACAATTGACGGGTCACCTGTTTCCTGATCTGGCCTCAGTGACTCCCCATCCTATATGTTTTTCTCTCTCTCTAGGAAAGATGGCCAAGAAGCAGGAGACTAAGGTAGGTCACCCTGGGGAACCGGCTGAGTTTTGTCAGACTGGAAAGAAAGACTGATTCATTGTTGCCTATATGGCAGAAAAATTGATTCAAGGTCTGTTCCCTCGCCCCCTCCCCTGTGCTCCAGGGCTCTTCCCCTTCTCTCCCTCAGCACCAGCCTTTTTCATCTCCTGAGCTCACCTTCCCACAGAGCTGCCCTAGCACCGCTGGCAAAGTCTGACATTTGCTCTTCTTTCCTGGCATTGGATATGTGGGGGAACCGCATCTTTGGGGCCTTGGTGTGGGATCCATGGGTGGGTGATGGAGGGACATTTCCTTAACCCCACTGGCTCCTACTGCGGAAGCTTCTTGACACCCTCGGTGTGGCCAGCAGGGGGCAGGACGCACCCGTGGAATGAGCACTGACCCTCCGTTTGGGAAAGGGGAAGGGGTGAAGAGTGGAATCGCTTCCAAGGAAGGGCTGAGATGCTAGGGGTAACCCCAAGCCTTGTCTCCCCAGGCCCTGCACCCTAAGGCTGAAAGGCAGGATCCTGTGGAGACGATTGATCCAGAGGATTTTCTTGGCCCCCACTCCACCCCTCCAGTGCAGGAGACCTTACACTGGTGTCAGCCGGTCACCCAGGAGGATGGCAAAGAAAGCCGCATCTCCGTGCAGGAGCGAGAGTGAGGCTGTGTGTGCCCAGGAGCGTGGTGGCACCGGCCTGTGGGCACGTGGCTGGAGAGCCTGGGGCTGCTGCTGGTGAGGGCGACAGCCCCCCTCTGCCTGCACCCCTGCAGTCCAGAAACAGTTCATCTCGGGGAACCTTTCACCCCAGCCGTAGAGCCCATTCAATCTCCCAACTTGATTTCAAAGATGGTAACAAAACTTTGGGGAGGCCGTACAAGGGTATCCACCAAACCTTCCAACCCAGCGGTTTGGTGCCAACAGGTGTAACGCGGTGGCTTCTGTGAGCCCAGGAGGCATATGCATAGATACACATCGCAGCACTGTTTGTGACAGTGAGCAACTGGAAACTGCTTAACTGTCCATCAACAGGGGACTGGCTAAATAAAACTGTAATATATTTATGCAACAGGTTCTTGAAAACACTGTCATGGGGGAAGAAACAAAAGCAGGTTGTAGAATGGTGGGCATGGAAACATTTTTTTTTAAAGCAAGTAACCCAAAACAATATATCTTCTACAGATATGTGTATAAACATAGTATATGTTATATATGTCGGTATGGCAGGGGGGCTCTGGAAGGACACATAGAACATGCACAGCTCAAAGAATTGTAATGTCTTGGTTGGGAAAGAAGGGTCCGGGGGAGGGTTGGTTAAAGAAAGATTTGACTCTCCCATAATGCTTCATTTTTTTCCCCCAAAAGGAGAGTGAATTCACAGACTGCTTATGTAATTAAAAAGTCATCAAACATGTAAAAAGAAAAAAGGGGGCGGGCACGCTGGGTGACATGAGCTGCTTCACATGCTGTCAGGCTCACAGAATGAGGGCACTTTCTGAGGATAAATAAGGACGTCCCCCAGGCTGCTGCCCTTCTAAGGTGGTTTCCACATGCACTCACGTTTGGCATCATGTTTGCAAAGGGCTTTCCCCATTTGATTCACATTCACAACAGTAGCCTTTGGGGCAGGCAGGGCCAGCATCCCTCCTTTCCTCCCTCCCTCTTTAACAGAGGTGGAAATGGAGGCCCAGAGAGGTGAAGTAATTTATCTATGGTCACACAGCCGTTCAGAGTGGTGCCCCTCAGAGCTCCCCACTCCTAGTCCTATGCTGCTTCTCCCAGCCCCACCTGCTCTCTGGAGCCTGCATCTGTAGCCCCTTCCCAGGGAGCTCCTGGGCCTTCTACCTCCTTTTGACCTCCCAACTGCTACAGGAGCTGCTGCTTCTCGGTCAGATGGTGTCCCCTTCCCCCTAAGCAGTATCTTAGGATAAAAATAAACCGTCCTGTTCTCTTTTCCTGCTGTGCCAACTGAGGGGGAGCCTAGCCAGGAGGAGCAGCAGATGGAGAGGGAACAGAGGGGAGGGCAGGGGAGGGGAGAGGGGAAGGTTGTAGGGCAAGAAGGGTAAGGAAGAGGATTGCAAAGCCCCAGCACAGAGGTTCCTGGTGAGGGTGAGGCCAGCCTGGTTTACCCCAGGGATCTCACCCCAGCCCCGCCTTCGTGAGAAGCTGCTTTGGATTTCCCAACATGTCCTGCCGCCTGGAGGGTGAGCGTGGAGAGGGCTTGCCCCAGTGGAGGTGGTGAGGGCAGCTGAGAGCCAAGGGAGGGGCACCTGGCTTGGCAGGCTTCCCAGAAGAGAACCATTTGGATGCACCAGGGGGAGACGTCTGCTTTAGAAAGCAGTGCAAAGTGGTGGTGGTGTGGAGTGGGGGGAGGGGAGCTCTGGGACCTCACCTTTATCCCCTACCTAGAGTCTAAAATGCTAGTGTTACGTACTGTACATGACAGTATGGTGGAAAGAGACAAAAGACCCATCTCTGCCACCTATTATCTGTGTGGCTTTGGGTAGGTCACTTTCACCTTTTAGCGTCTCAGTTTGCTCATCTGGCGAATGGAGACAATACAACGGACAGACGCTATGGGTGCTTCCTTCGTTCTCTCCTAGGCCCTTCGTTCTCAAGCTTAAGCATGTATCAGAACCACCTGTAAGACTTGTTAAAAGACAGATTGAAAAAAAAAAAAAAAAAAAGACAGATTGCTGGGCCCCACCTCCAGGGTTTCTGATTCAGTAGGTCTGGGATGGAGTCCAAGACTGTGCATTTCTACAAGTTTCCCAGGTGATGATGCTGGTGCAGGGGTCGCACTTTGAGAACGACCACCCTTGGCATTCATATTTCTTGATAAGCAGTTGCTTTCCGATTGCGAGCACTTGGGATTGCTTACCTCGGGGCTTTCCTTGGTTTTATGTTATTTATTTGGTTGCGTTGGGTCTTACTTGCGGCAGGCAGGCTCCTTAGTTGCGGCTTGCTGGCTCCTTAGTCGTGGCGTGTGAACTCCCAGTTGCGGCATGCACGTGGGATCCAGTTCCCGGACCAGGGATCGAACCCGGCCCCCTGCATTGGGAGCACGGAGTCCTAACCACTGTGCCATGAGGGAAGTCCCTCCTTGGTTTTAAAAAAATGCTCGGTGCAGGTGTAGGGCAGGTAAGATATACCTGGGAGAGCTAATGCCCCCAAAACTCTCAACCAAATAGGAGTGAAAGTTGGAGGATACATGACCCGGCTTCCTTGCCCTTGGGAGGGACAAATCTGAGGTGTGTTCTATACTGTCTCCTAGGTTCCCTAGAGGGCTCGAGCCACAGATGACCTCCATGGCTGTCTTCCCTTCCCTGCGTCATTCTCCACCACCCCACTGGTGCTTCCTGGGTTCAACTCCCCAGTAAACTACCTGCATTCTTTCCTTGTTGCAGAGTCTGCTTTTGGAGAAGTCCCCCCCTAAGAGTCAGCAGAGGTCAAGCATGAGAAGGTATAATTTTGTATATCTTGGCATCCCCAGCAAAGAGAAGGGGTTGTTATTCCTGGCACCTGTAGCAAGTTCTGGGTTCTAAATGGAGCTCAGCCAGGAACCTTCTGTGTGACCTTGGGAAAGCTGCTCTCTGGTTCTGAGCTTTTTTCCCCCCCGATGTGATGAAGGGTTGGGATTCTACAAGTTCTAAGGATCTTGCCAATTCTAAAAATAAGGCGATCAGCCCACTGTAGTGTCTGCTCTGGCCTGTGGATGAATGGGTGGGTGTGAGGCTCACAATAGCCAGAAGGTGGCGCCAAAGTAATGCCCGAAGACTCTGGCGTCTGGCTTTTGCCAGCTCTCATTTCCTCCTTCCACCGTCCTTCCGCCTGAGCCTCCTGCGATCTCTACTAACTTCATCCGTTCCCCAGGTCTCCCTCTCCACTGCTTCCTTCTTCTTAACAAGCATCAGCTACATTCCTACTGTGGCCTCTCGCCGAGCTAGGGTTGTGCATGACAGCGCTAAGAATGCACATGGACAGAGGGCTCACTATGCGCTAGGCACTGTCCTAAGGACTTCACATGCACTAAGTCCGTAGGACAACCCTGCATAAGGCACAGTCTCGTCTAACGCCCATTTTACAGATGGGGCTCAGAAGCTAAATGACTTGCTAAGGTCGGAAGAATCGGAGCTGGGATTTGGACCTAACTAGGTTGATCCAAAAACCTTTGCTTCTTACCCACTCAGAGAGTAAAAAAAACAGGCGCATGTTATCAGGCCGTTAAAAGACAGTGTGACTGCCCAGGCGGAGCGAAAGCCCACGGCAGGAGCAGCTCACCTCTAGGACAGCAGTTGTAAACTCAGCGGAGCGCACAGGAGCTGGAAAGTGAGGGAGGCCGGGTCAGGAGGAGTCAGGATGGCACAGACTCTGGCAAAGTGGCGAGGCTCTGCCCGTTTTGGTGGGGCAGCATCTATGAATTGCTTCTAATGGTTGCCCTCCAGGGATGAGAGTTATGTATTGCTGGGGATCCAGATTTCTATGTGAAATCTCCCAATGTTTAAATGCCACCAATCCCAAAAAGAAAAGAAAAAAAAAAAGAAAAAGAAAAGAAAAAACAACAATTCTGTGAGAACCCAAGAAAGCATGTCACAGAGGGTTGGAATTAAAAGAGACTGGGAGTTTCATTGTGTCCGACACTTTTGTTTTCTATATGGGGAAACTGAGGCCCTGGGAGGGTCCAGAGCCAAGTTAGGCAACATGTCCTAGGCAGGTTGTCTCTTTTCTCTGCACCCCATCTGGGAGGCTGCAGAGAGGTCCTTAGGCTCCACCCTGTGACCCTGGTTAACTGGCTCTATTCAGCATTCTTTTTTTTTTTGCGGGGCATGTGGGATCTTAGTTCCCCAACCAGGGATTGAACCCACACCCCCTGCAGTGGAAGCACGGAATCTTAACCACTGGATCACCAGGGAAGTCCCCGGTTAACTGGGTCTAAAGCATTGAAACTCTAGGACCGAGGGGGCCGGGGCTGAGCTGGGTGTAGATGTCCTCTTAATCCTATGACCCCCCCATCTCAGCCCCCCCAGGCATGCACTCACATACTCTCCTCTTAAGCCTTTAGGGCCCTGTGGTCGATTCCTTGGGCAGCAGAAGTTATTAAAGACTCTGCCCGAAGGGTTCCTCTCCCCCCGTGATTCTGGCACAGAAAATTACAAACCCACCGGCAGAGGTGGGGAGATACAGTTTTAATTTGAAAAAAAAGGAAAAAACACCCATGCTGTGGTCCTGGAGTCTGGGGGATGGAGACGCTCATGGCGGGGGCATGTCCTCTGGGACGCGCAACGTTGCTGCTGCGGCTTCGTGTTGCTCAGTAAAATCAGTGAGCAGCTTTCGCCCAGACAGACGGGGCGGGGGGGGGCGGGGTGCCCTGCTTCTCTACTCCAGTCCCCCCTCCCAGTCCCTGGGAGCTCTCTGCCTCTGTCCCGCTGACTGGCACGTCCCGCTGGGCTTTGGCGCCGAGCTAGTTCCCTGCCACCTCCTCGTTCCAAGACCCCCTCCCACCCTCTGCAGTCTCTGCCCCTCCCCCACCGACCACCTCCTTTCCCTTCTCCCAGCCCTCGCGTCTCACCCTGGTTCTCTTTTGAACACGTACTATTGTTTGGGCTAATCACAAAAGTCACACCTGTGCGTTGCACTCCCTGTGCCCCCAATCCAAGCAACACAGGAAAATCAGTCCCCCTGTAAGTCCTCCCCACACCCCAACCGAGAGCTACAGGTCCCTCCAGACTTGTTTTCTGTGCCAAAAATATTTTTTCAACTTGGGCTGTTATTACGTACCCTGTTTTGTAAGCAGCTTCTTTGCTTAGCTGTGTGTGGCAGACACCTCTCCATGCCAATAAATGTAGATCGACAACGTGCCTTTTAATTGCTGCATAGAATTCCATTGTCCAGCTGGAGCCTTGATTCAAGTGAGGGGTCCATATTGCTGGACATCTAGGTGGCTTTTCTCTTTTCCTCTTCAGCCCCTTCCTGCTTCTATGGCGTCTCCCCCACCCCTCCGCTTCCTCTTTCACTCTCCCTTCCTCTGCGGAGGGGTTGGGGGTCACTGGTGTTTAACACCCACTCCCC